TAACTGAAGGCATAGATTAATTTTAGTTCGTTTTTACGATTAGCTGATAGCGTGATAGGTGATGAGACAAGCTAAGCTACATATTTTTTAATAATTTCTTAATAACACTTTTCAGATAATTAATTATATGATATATATTATCTGAGTCAATTCCAGTGTTATGTGGCTGATCTAAAACATTGCCACCAACCACATCATAGAAAGCTATTTAATTGCCCAAAGAATTTCGTGTATAAGAGTTTTTTTTTTTTGATGATTGCTCATGTCGCACATTGGTTGCATTAGACAATTTCCGAGCGTGATAGTCATGATAAGAGAAGGAAAGTTGATTACTTACAGAACTGACAACTGCAGCCGCCTTGTTTAGGCAAAAGTAATGTTCAGCTATTCTAGTTTCAATCATAATGCATTTATTGAATTATTATTATTATTATTATTACTATTACTATTATTATTATTTGTTTTTGTAAATACAATTGCGGTCAAATTGTTTTGTTTTTTAAACTTATATAATTAGTAATACAATAATTTTAATAGGATTAAGCAAAAGTAACTCTGTTCTAAGCAAATAAAATAATTAGAAAATATTGTGTGTGTTCTATCCATTTGATTGTGCAGTTTTTAAATCAATATAAAGTTTAAAAAATTTTTCGGTTTGTTTATTTTTTTCTTGTTTTTTATTATTTTATTCCATTAGATGTAACAAGAAATTGGACGCGGTATACTCATAGTTTATTGTTGTTGTTTTATTTGTTATCATTTTCAGTGTGTTTTTGTGTGCACGTTTGCGAATATGTAGGTGTATGCGTAAGCATATATATGTGTGTAAATGTACGTGTTTGAAATTTTATTTATATATTATAGCTTATAAAAATAAATGTAAATGTAAACCAAATCACTATCGTATTGAAAGTAGTTTCGAATTAAAGACAAGAGTAGTTTGCTTTTCAAGTAACAACTAAATTAAAAAAACAAAATATGCACACAAAAAAAAAAAAATAAAAATAAAAAAATAAACAAAGTAGATAAGACAACTAAAAACAAGAAACTTAAAAGATAATTTTATATTAATTAATTGTCAATTGATTGTTTTTATTGACAAAAACTAAGAAACAAAAATTATTGAAAAAAAAAAAAAAAACTAGAAGAAAGAAATAAAGATACATTTTATTTTTTATATCGTTTCGCATCGGTTTGGCTAATTAAGCACTTTTGTGATTTTTTAATTAAAACAGCCTCACTGTCAGAATATGTTTCTTTTTTTTTGTTTTTTTTTTTTTTTTTTTTTTGTTTGTTTCTCATCTAATAGAATTATTGTTCCTCGATCGATTTCCAATTATGTTTTAATTATTGCTCTATATTTGATTGCATATCGCTTTTTTTAATGGTCTGTTGGCATGTTCGCGTCTCTTCGGTCTGGCGTCCAACATTGCATTTAATAGAAGCTGTTTATTTTCTCTTCCTCTTTTTCTTTTTTCTTTGTTTTTCTTTCTTTTTTTTTTTCTTTCGACTAGAGTTGTCTTGCATCTGGCACAAACGAAACAATCATGATGCCATTGACGATCTTCAAATGATATAAAACGAGTGCCGCCAATACCTAATAAATATAAAATAATGATATAAAATTAGATTAGAGAAGATCGACGTAGAGCGAATAAAAATTGTGCAACATATTTTACCGGTTATGGGCTTAACACACGATGTACAGCGTTTAGCGAACAGTTCACCGAAACATTACAGCACAATAGGATTTCTCATCGCGGCTGGTGAAACGCTGACCAGCTAATATAATATTGCAATGGGCGCACGTAAAGCACTCACGATGCCAAGGCTCAGGCTTTTATAAGTCACACCACCAGAAGTAATGACCTGATAATGATAACAGTTTCCAGTTAAATAATAAATCAAATGATCTAACATTAATGCAAAGATGGTATGATGAGTACATCTTAAGACAAAATCGTTATCCCAATGTCTGAACGATACAATACGATCTTCTGAACGACGTTATATTACATCGAGATGAAAACCTTTTTTTTTTTTAACTTTGATTTTATTCGACATCATAGTCGATCCAATTAGTCGTCCAATCTATCTCAAATATTTCTAAGCCCCCCTTTTATAGAAGGATTTAGCGAAGTCTTCAAAATACGCTTCGTTTACTGCGATATGCATATCATTTGATTTTAATCTCTCTCTTCGGATCGTCGTTTTCAGAGAGAGTTACCAACTGGTAGATAATAGCCGCTCCGATGCATACGTGTGGCAAATGTAGAGCAGCAATTTCAGGTTCGATTCACGCAATTTTCGAATTGGATCCATCGACTTGTGACATAAGTTTTTTGCTCCGTTATTTTCTACTGTAACCACTTTTTTTGAGTGTCCACAGCGTTCAGCATTGTCCATGATCGTGTGATCAGCTCTTATTCTCCTAAGCGTTTTTTTTTTTCTTTCTTTCTTTCAATTATATGAGCAATCATTCAGGGGGTGCCCTCTATTCGTGTACTACGGGGACGATCGGAAAGAAGTAAGGAAAGAGAAAGAGATAGAGAAGCGGCCGAAGCCTAATCGATATACGGAGGAAACATAATTTATGGAAAATTACATAATTCGGAAAAATTACATCCCCACGAAAGTCTGAAAATTTTCTGAAATCGTTTCATAGATACTTAGAAAATATTGCTGTTCGATCGAAAAACCCCTTTTCCTCCATTCACTTTCCTAACACAAATATATGCTTATCATAATCTCGATAAATGATAATATATATGCGACGATCGTAATCGAGGATATGTATGTATTCATCTTTGCTTACCTTGTTACACTTAATGCAACGAGTAGCAAATTTTTCCTCATAGCAACTGGTACAATAGATCTCCTATTCTCTAGGGATGAACGATTTGGTGCCAATGGCAATTTTGCATACGCAACAGCAGAAACAATTTTCATGCCATTGCATGTCCGTCTGTCCGTCTATGTAATGTCTGTTGTAAACATTTGCCTGGGCGAAAAATTGAAGCGAACGACTTAAAACTTGGTAGAGACATTGTAAGTTCTTGCATGTTAGTTGGTATTGGAAATGGGCTCGAAGGCTACACCTACAGTGTTACGTAACCTGAGAACCTGAGAACATCTCTGTTATTCAAAGGGAATAAAAAATTCGTTGTTTGCTCATTACCCATGCACTACAGCAGATAAATCTACAAGAAGTTGAATATGCATCGTAACCCCCAGAAACAAGCTTTAAAAACCCCATAAAGTGGGTAAATTTTCTGCCAGTTACAGATCCGGAATGAACCTAACGATGTCTGTCTGTTTGCCTTTCCATCTGTCCACCTGTCTGTGATAAACATTCTTCTGTTCGCCTACAAATTTGCAAAAGAGTTTGAAAATGGCCCGAACATGGCAAAGGACACACTCAGAACACCTATCTATATCTATACAAACAAAACTGAAATCAATATTTGGAAATTAAAAAATATAAAAATATAAATATATTGAAATAAATATTTTATATACATTACAAAGTTTATATAATTTGTTCTAATTCTTTTTCTTTCTCTTTAGATGTAAATTAAATCGTGATAGGCGCCATAAATAAATGGTTAAATTCCCTGTTGAAAGCACAGAGTCGCTTTTAATAAATAAATGGTTAAATGCCCAACTTAATCGACAAAAGGGAATCGATTCTGTTAAATAACAAACCAAATGCCCAACTTTACCGACAAAAGGGATTCGATTCCGTTAAATAACAGACCAAATGTCCAACTTTACCGACAAAAGGAATCGATTCTGTTAAATAACAGACCAAATGCCCAACTTAATCGACAAAAGGGAATCGATTCTGTTAAAATATGTTATGTTATCCGTAACAGTACTAATGCTGTAAACTTTCATATCAACTATAAGCTTTCATATGAACTTTAAGCTTTCATATCAACACAGCTGATCAATTGAACAGTTGATAATATGTGCGCGGCAAATGTATGAAATGTAGCTGTCATAGAAATATAAAGGTGCATTTTTGTTAACTGCAGCTGTAATTTTGCATGCATGAGTTGTAATTTTAAATTCAAAAGTTCCACCTGTAGATTTTGTTTACTCTAAACTTGCTGTCCAGATATAATTTTTTAACTTTTTTAAAACGTCAACATGTGTATATAATAAATGGGTGCACGAATGATATCAGCTGCACCATCACGAAATAAATATTTATATATATAATCCTTCCTATTTCCAGAAAAACGCATTTTTTCAAAAAAAATACGCTTTCTCAAACCGTAAAGTGAACATCATCATTAATTAATATAATTTGGCCACAACCTGTTTTCTTTATGATAGCTTTTTTTAGTTAGTGACTATCAGATGGCTTTATGAATTGGCAAATTCATATGCAATAAGCTATGCCCTAAAATATTTAAGCTATGAACGCAACCAATTATTTGAAAGGCAAATTCCTAGGGTAAATTTTAAACTATTGCGATTAGAAAGAATGGCAACACTATTAAGTTTTTTTTCTCATACCATGTAATTTAGTTTGATTCGTAACTTTGTGTATATTTGGTTTTAAGCAACGACATATGCATGGCTCGTTGGTCTAGGGGTATGATTCTCGCTTCGGGTGCGAGAGGTCCCGGGTTCAATTCCCGGACGAGCCCAAGTCAAATTTTTTTTTTTCTAATAAAAAATAAAAATTAGTTTGTAATTACAAAAACATACATAAATATATTTCTATAAAACTAAAGAATACAAAAAATAAACAAAATTATTCAAAGCAATTCATGATTGTTATAAAACAGCAAACATAAATACACACGAAAATATAAAACTATGGATGTCTAAAATAAAAAAAGAAAATAAATATGAATAACATTAAATATTAAGATGTTTACAGCTTTAAGAATTTGCTACTTTTTTTACAATAATTTTTAATTATTTTAGTCTTTTTCTAAATTTTTTTTTTTTTAACGGATTTATAAAGAGAATTTTTATATTGTATTTTGTTATTGTAATAGTATGAGGATTGTTGTAGCAATGTTGTTGTTATAACTTTTATCTTACTTACTATTTATAAAAAAACGTTTTTACTTGCATTATACAGTCTCTATTCATACTCAAGAATATTTTTATGATAAAACAACAAATAGCTGGAAAAAAAAAGAGAATGAATGAAGACTCGTGCTTTCTTACTTTTTCACTTACCCCTCACTGTCTAACACTTGCTTTAAGGTAGCGGTGGTAATAATATGGTCATCACACTTTACCCAGGTATCCTTATGATGCCGTACATAGGCCGTATAATGACCGGCATCGATTGTACCCACATGGTTGACTACTGCGTACAGTGAGTAACGAAAATCTCCATAAGCATTGTTTTTATCTGACATGAATGGAGTCATATCAAATTCGACGGGGAATGAAATGAACGTCGAGATCTTTTTATCTATTAATGAAGAATGTTCGAAACGTTTTAAATGGAAACTGGCTACGCTTGGTAAAGTTCGCAAGCTGAATTGTTTGGTAGATTCTTGATAAGATTTACAGGTGGAACATTTGATTTTCGCACTTGAACCTAAATGTTCGGCTCTGGTGTAGCGTTCCAAACAGTCTATTAAAGATTTTGGCGTAGCGCCACCATGAGCTGTTTCTCCTAAATCCAATGAGATATCCCAGAAAGGGTCAATAGTGGTCGACACGCCCTTGCACGATTGACAAACCACATCACTTTGCAGCATTCCGGTGAAAATTTGATCTATTATACAGTTACACTGTGTAGGGCAATTAGTGTGTTGTGCGGAGGAGCTGGATTTGTTGGCATTTTCTGTTTCAGCCTTGGCCTTAATACAATGACGATGCAAAACATCTAAAGTAGCTATAAAAAACTCGTGAGCATCTTGTTGCTCATAACCGGCCAAATGCTTAGCATGATTCCAAATTAAATGCAACAAACGATGCAGTGAAAGTGGAGTACGTAATCCAGAATAAAATTCCTGGAAAACGGGAGTTCTGCATTATTGTGTGAGCGATGTCTTTAATCAAACCAATCACCTGAAATAATCGCGATACTTCGCATACCAGACATTTCAGTGAGGATTTGGCATTACATTCATGACGTTCGGAAAGAAAGTAATCACTTAACAATGGGGTGTGAATTAAAGCCTGTAAACCAGTGTTAGGAAAACTACTATAATATTAGAGTATAAAATATTGAACAACAATTTCACCTGCACAATGCAATTCATAAAACAAGTAGATCCCAAATTAATAAGACCCCTTAAACCTAAAGTTTCATTAGCCTTAACATGGCGGCGACGAGGATTAGCTAACATCAGGTTAGTTTCTTTGGGTGTGGGTATCCATGGTGTCCAACTTAGACTTTTTTGCACATCTTTGGCTTCCAATTTACGATTAACTGACGCTATTTCGCGGCAGCGTGAATCATAGATGAAGTCTCGACATGAATTGCAGTATAAAGTACCATGTGACAGCTCCAGTGCAATAGAGTGCTTTTTCGCACGTAAATGCGAGGTAATGTGAGATCCACGACAACCAAAATAAATGCAATAAAGGCAAGCAAATATCTGCAAACCGAAACTACCGCATTCAAAGCAGCAGCAATTTAAAGCCTGAAAAAACTAAAATATTTAATACTCTACAACAAACGAAAAATATATGTGAAGAAGATACAGTTACTTTTTTTTCACGAGCATCTCGATTAATACAAGCTGAAAAGTAAGCATCAATTATGCGATACGTATCCAAAGAGTTCTCTTTGACGTAGACTTGAAAATGTTTACAGCCGTTTTCAGCCATTATTGCTGAACACGTTTCTATCAAATCGCGCGATGACGAACCAGATGCCGTCTCGCCTTGAGTGTTATTATCGTCTGTTTCAACGCCGCCAGTGTCAATAGATTCACTTGCTAACAATAATAATAAATATGTGGATACGTTTGTCTCAAATATCTGATGATCAGCAAGTGTTTTACCGGTTAAAGCCGCTGCTGCCGCTGATGTTGTTGCATGTGAAGTTGCTGATTGTAGATCTATTTGCAATCGTTGTTTACCGCGTGTGCGTCTCAAAGCTGCTATTGTTTTTGTGGTTGATGTTAATACCGTTGTATCATTATCGCTGCTATTATCACCTCTGCCGGCTTCAAAAGCCGGTGTCGTCAAATGTTGTTCTGCGGCGCTACTATCACCACCAACAACGCTAGTGCCACTGTTCTGGTCTGTCGTAGCAGCCCTACCTCTTGCAAGTTTTGCGGCACCACCCCCTCCAACCCTAGACGTTGAACTTTTTTTATTTGGCTTCTCTGTTTGCTGTTGTTGTTTACTTAAATTTTTTGTTCTCGCCAGCACTAGTTTTTCAGCTTTTCTCGATTTACGCTGAATCTTGGTGCTGTTTACACTACAATATGTTTGAAACTGTTTCTTTTATTTAAGTTAGATTGCTTTAAAAAAAAAAAAAAAATATTGCTGCTGTTTGTTGTTATAACCGATGTTTAATTTACAAGTAACTATTTTGTTGGTATACTTATTTTGCTTTTTATGCAATTACTTGAAAACTTTTAAAATTTGTTTACTAAAGTTTTGCACAAATCCCTAAGTGTTTTTAATAAATGTTTAATTTATATCAATAGTTGAATAAATAAACTCGGCCTTTTTATTATTCGCTTAATCAATTCCTTACGTATGCCAAGATAGCGACAAATTCTTCACTGCGTAGGAACGAAGAGGAAAAAAACAATATTTCTTTTTAACTAGAATCTAGCAGTATTTGTAACTTTAAGAGCGAAATCATACCCTTCTGAGGACACAGGTCCAGGCAACAAATTTAATTATTTTCATATATAAATTATTAAATGCCGCAAAATGTTTAATATTCTTAATGAGTATCTGATGCAATTTATTTTTACACTTTGAGGTCATATATACAATGCACACAATATTCCATTCCATCCAGTTGCATGTTGTTGCTGGGATTTATTTCTTCAAACACGCATGAGTATGAATGTTTTTGGAAGAAAATTCCTAAATTTTGAAGCAACTAAGTAGTTTTCTCTTTCTACAAAACAAAGAAAAATGCTTTTCCTAATTTAAATAAATTTTTTAATATGTTTGTAAACAGACTGGAAAAAGCAGCGACAAGTAAGCCTATTTAATAGCGATTACTACATCAAAAGAAGTAACAAAAAAAATATATAAAACGCCTTTTTGCCATTTCCCATAAGTGAGCTGATGTTATACGAATAAAAGACATAACAACATTTCCATGTGAACATACAATGCTGGATAATTGATTACTTCCAACTGCAATTCATGTAATTATTAAAATGTTAACTTAACATAAATTGAGAGACACTAGAGTTTTATTTTCTGTTTTAGAACAACCGCATTAGGCATAGCAAAATGCTGCAAAGCTTCCCCACAGTTCGAAGCAGGCGTTAGAATAATATTGGAAGGTCCAAGGAATAACGTCGCTGCAGAATGCATCAAACAGTAGGAATTTGGTCGAGTTAATAATTTGGATGACTGGCAACAGCTCATAATAAACGATTTTTTGCAAGTTAGATATGGAGCATCAGTTTTTTTTATATAGTTATCGGCCTTGTTGAGTGCCGCCCATAGTATTTTTCTATAGTCTCAGCTATAGCGTTTCCCATTAACAACTGTTTGCTTTACGAAACGAAGTAAAAGTACAATTGATTGCCTCAACAGATCACGCGGCAATGAAATTCTCCAAAGCAAAATATTGTGAAAGTAAATTAAACAAATTTAAGCAACCAATGAAACAAACCTTTTTGAATATGTTAATAGTCAGTACTCAAATCAGAAATTCTTGCAAGGAACAAAGGGAAGTGGTTAGTTGTAATTTATATTTATAGTTTTTATTAACACTTTGAAAGCATACATATATAGGTGTGTTGTTAAAAATTGTAAAATAGTTGGCGTTTTTCATATCAAACAACTCTGTTTTACGCGTTAACATAGTTTGCGCTAACGCGCAGGGAAGTCACAAACTCTGCGAAAGTTGTAATACGAGATAAGAGTTCAAATATCGGCTAACAGAATTTTTCTACAGTTTTCACGGCAGCTAACATACGGTCGACAACACAATTGTGAGCGATATTATTAAAAAAATGTAGAGTAAGTATATTGAAGTAATAATGAAATTGTTGGAAAATTGCAAAATTTATTTAACTAATATAGAAAATTAATTGTTGCGAGGAGTGCAAAGTTTAAAAAACAAATTGATTCTATATAAGGTATTAAAAATATGAATGAAATTATCATCAAAACGTGACTTTTTTAAAAAATGGAAGTGAATTTAATATTGAGAGGTAAACAAAAATTATTTACCGAAATTAAATCTGCATGGTAATTACGTAATTGAAAGTGAGCTTTCACTTTTGTGTTTGTCTATTTCGAAAACACCTAAAAACGAGAGCGAGAGTTACATTTTCCATACTCCCTCGTTGTCCTATTAATTTATTTCTCAGTTAAAACTGCTTTCTTTCTTTGCTTCTTTTATATTTAAAAAAATAGTTCAGATTTTCTTTGGGTGATTTCTCTTTTATTTTACATTCAAAACACTATGGAAATTTTGAAACACTTCGAAAATTTTAAAACGTAAGCTCAAAACAAAATACCGAAAATCAATTAGAAATCACTTAACAGGTTGGATTTTAAACAAAATTTACAGTGCCTTTTATTATTTTTTTTGGCCAAATTTTCCCTTTTGTTTTTGACGAAAACACTTAGATAAATATAACTTTCTATAAATCCATGTCTCTCTCTCTCTCGCCACTACTTACCAGCTCTATCACTTTTTAAGAATATCAATGCTAACATAAAAGAAATATATCAACATTTCCGAAAGAATTTTTAGAAGTAAAACCGAAATTATTTTAGAAACTTCGTTATTAAATCGCTCATTAAACCTGAGAATTATATAAAGAGCGTTAAAACATATGTAGACAGATAACTCAATTTAATTGAAACGTTTTTTGTGTTTCTTGCCGCGTTCTTTTTCAATTTCTCTTATCGACAGCACTAGATATTTCATAATATTGTACAGACACTGTTTTCTCCGCTAAATTGGCTAAAAGTTTGAAGCATACTTGAATGAATAAAATTACAATTGGGTTACTACAGTTTTATAAGCACAAGTCAAATATTTATGATGGGTTTGTGCCGTGCATAAGTGCAAAAACGGAATGTAACAACTTCGAGAACTGCTGCCCGAAGCAATCAGCATTTTATAAATTTCAAACTTGCCATCACTATCTTGCATAAGTGCAAAAACGGAATGTAACAACTTCGAGAACTGCTGCCCGAAGCAATCAGCATTTTATAAATTTCAAACTTGCCATCACTATCTTACAGTAGATTTTAAGGGGTAGGTTTCTTTCGAGATGCCATCGCCATCTATTATTGTTTTTTGGCTCTTGCCACAATCGTTTCATTCTTTTAAATAAGTAGCGCAGGGTGTTATTAAAGCATTTTGAGATATTTTTATTTACAACTTGAGTGAGTCAGTAGTCGGCGAAAGTGAAGCCAAGTTAGAAATAGTTAAATACAACAACCATTTTCGGGTTGTTCTTTTTTTTAAATATGTTCCAGTTCATTATTGCATTTCTGCAATTTGTATTTGTGGGAAATGAACGGTTTGTAGACGGTATTGGTTTCATTATTAGCTGTTTGTAAAAACTAATGCTTTATGTGAAATTCAAAAAAAAGCAAAAGCAATCATTCAATCATTCTTTTACATATATTTTATTTTTATATAAATTTATTTAATATAAAATGAAAATAATTTTTCTAATCTTTTACTTGAACTTTATACTTCTTTAATTGGATATTTTCTCAAGGTAATTGAATAATCAATATTTTGTAAGTGCAAGTTAGATGTTAATTTAACTACAACCTTATTATTTAGATCAAAGTCGCGCCAAGGTTCATAAATTCAGCATCTATGGTAACCTTATTAAAATGTTAAGCTTTCTAAATATATTATATTTCTTTTTTTCTTTATTATCTTATTTCATTATTATTTTATAATTAAAAATTTTTTTTTTTTTTTTTTAATAAATCAGTCACCATAGATGACGATTGTAAAAAAGGGATTTTTTTTCTTCCAACAATTTTGCGGAATTTTTTTTTTTTTTTGAGTGGACATATAAGGTATCCTTATTGGCTTAGTCCAGTTAAGATCAACGATAAACCGAAGGCCCTCGATCGGACGTTTTAGAACTTGATCAGAAATCTTAGAATTTCAACTACAATAGGAATGGTATTGTTCGGCAACCTGTGTTTGTAATTAGGTATCCAAAGCAATGAATATTGTGGCCACAAACTTTTTCTCTAAAATAAATTATCATTCAATAATTATTGGATAATTTCGTAGACATGATGACTTGTTCATAGACTCATTGCGACTCATTGCATGTGAAAAAAGAAGGATTACAAGGATTAGATAAAACGAATAAGCCGGGCGAGCTCATCAATCGTGTTTGAAGTAAGAAGGCTTCTCACCCCAAGAACATAGAAAATCAGTCCGTGTTAGGATTTGCTTATTGAGGCAAAGAGAAGCGATCACAAATGATCATTGGGAGAGGAAATGGTAAGGCCGTAGAAGCCTCTTACAGATTGGTAAGGTTTACATGATAGGTTCTGCGTTCGAATATAAAAAGTGCAATTATGCATGAAAGTTAATTCAAGCATCCTCCAATGAGACTATGCTCTCAATAAAGCCGATATATATGAGTTAGCGTCGATTTTGAAAACTGATTGACTTGAAAGTGGCAGTGGATATACACTTTTGCAGTAATTATTCCAATGTGACGCGAAGTAATGATTCGGTCAGCTCAAACGCTCTAATTTTCTAATGCTACTATTTCTACCATTGCCGACCAGCAACCCAGTACGCAACCCGTGCACGCATTCTCCTCTTTGTCATTCAGTCTATATAATGCGTTGCTATTTTGTACTCGAAAATTTTACACACTCGCGGGCGATCAGCGACACAATCCCACTCCTATCGAGAATCATTGAATTAAGTTTTCACGACAATTATCCATAGAAAATAGGTAGAGACGTCTGTTCGTAGATGGGGTTGAACACTGACCAGAATGGATTTATTGAGTCATACAGAATAAACAATCTGGACTCTGGTGTTGTTTAGATCCCTAGTTTATAGGGATTGTCTAACTCGCTAGGGGGCGTGGGTTACGCTTAAATAACCTGCGTGGCTTGGGCCACCGTAGGGTTAGGCCATAAAGGCAGGTACCCACGTGAAATCCATGTCGCAATCTGTTCATAGATGCTTTACAATCCTTTACCGAAAATCTTGATTTTCGGTAAACGAGAGAAGCTGGAATTGTACTATTATCCTAAATGAAAGTATTATATATTTATATATCATTTATTTTGATCGTCAAAGACATACTTTCCACTTATAAGTGTTCTCCGTGTAGCCGCCTTGTCTTCAAATACGAATATATTAAGGAACTGTGTGTATGTTAACGCATTTGAAAAAAGCAAAAGAGAATAACTGATTGTGATCTTGATTGAAATACACTATGACTATTTTATTACGCGATGCGTATGCTTGTTAATAAGACGAAGGAACAAAAAAATCGAAATCCGGCAAATTCTCAGATAAAAGCCTTTGAATTGAAACGATTTTTTTGTTAAGCGTTAAATGCAAAAAAATGTCTTGCAAGATGAAGTAAAACATGCTGTAAAACCTGCATAATGATAACAGTAAAAGGAGAAGAAGAAGCAGCAGTTGTTTAAATTCAAATTGTGCGATACAAGAGCATGGCAGCGGTTCCATTGTTAGCAACCGATGGTCTTGCTACTGGCGATGCAATTAATCTGTGCGATTTGGGTCAGGGTTGACTGCCAACATTATTAGCCTCAATCTTGGCTAATTTTGGAATATCACGTTTGCCACGGTGTTGTCCAGTGTTTCGATTCGCAAAAAAATCGACAGACTTGATGTGTTCTTGAGGCAAGAATTCGTTCGGGAATTCAGATCGGGAATTCAGATCGTGCTAACGTATACACTTGCGTATAAAACTGTGTTCTCTGGCAAATGAATTTGCTGAACGTAAGGATAATCAATACGGAGATGATTCGATATCGAGGCCGCATGCTTGTGTGTGTATGCGTTCTGTGGAAGTTACAATGTTGAGAGAGAGAGAGACAGAGAGAGAGAGAGAGAGAGAGAGAGAGAGAGAGACAGAGACAGAATGAACGACGTCCCAATTCGATTTGAATCACAACACATCTAAAGGGTTTATTGTTTGTTCTGGCAACAACAAATACATATATAAAATAAAAAAAACAAATAAAAAAAACAATGCCAGGAGTTTTTTTTAGAGCATTTATTTATTTCTACGATCTATCTATTTATAAAACTTATTAATTATATGTTAATTTTCTAATAAAATTAAGAAAAATTTATATAAATTAATATTAAAGTGAAAAGTAAAAAAAAAAAAAATAATAATAATAATAATAAGGGCAAAAATGTAAAGCTTAATTATTTGATTAATCACAGTCTACAATAAAAATGTACTGTCACAATATCACAACAGAGCCACGCTAGCCATGTGCTCGTGCAATATCATTTGATGTACATCGTTGAATACTTTACGTATACAGCTGGTATCGGTGGCCACAGTGAAATGATAATAGCATTCACGTTTCGAGTAATCCATTTTATTTCGTGAGGGTCGTTTCACCGGCTCTTGCGTAATATCGATCAATTTTTGTTTAATAAATTTTTTCGTCCAGTCACATTCATCGAAATAGTTTTCAGCTTGTGGGCTATTGCAGAACTCTTCAAATTCGGGAAAATAATCGACTATATGTGTACCCGTTCGTATCTTACGCTCCATAATGTCTTGCTTATTGAGAAAAACAATTATACCGGCCGAGGCGAGAAAACGATTTTGCCATACGCCGCGAAATAAATTCAAAGCTTCTTGTAAACGATTTTGCAAAGGATCTTCACGTAACGATTGATCGAAATCCGCACACGATATGAGAAATAAAACGGCTTGAATACCCTCGAAAGCTTGTATCCATTTATTCCGTTGATCACGTTGACCACCCACGTCATACATGCGAAACTCTTGTTCACCGCCGCCTAACGTTTTCGGAATTTTTACACGAAACGTAATTTTATGTATACCCGTAGTTACTTTACGACTATGCAAAATATCCTCTGTGCTCGGTATATAATCGTAGTCGGAAATACGCTCGAAATTATCAAGAAAACTGTAAAAATAAAAGATTTACAAGAAACGTTTACCTAATCAATCTATAAATGCTGAACGCTGAACGCCTGTAACTCACTATTTAGTGCTATCCAATAAAGGAAATTCATTCGAACGTCCAAAGCAAGTGCGGATGCCCAAATCGTTCCATAATGTCATAACATGATCGCAATACTCCTGCAAGGAAATACGAAAAAAATTATTTCAATTTAAACAAAATGAACCTGAAATTGAATTCAATTTAAATCCTTTTACATCGGTTGACTATGGCATATTGGTATAGGTATTCTTTAACAATATATTCATATTAAATGTATGTGGACTTGGATCAGAAGAATATTCATTTAAAATAAAGAACAAGTAAGAACAGTATAGTCGAGTGCGAGTACGACCATTAGATACCCTTTCTGCCTAATAAAATCATTCAATCATTTTCGTGATAATACATCAAAAATTATAATATTATTATTATAAGTCATACCTTTCATGAAAATCCTCATATTGGAGGGTGCTTAAAATGTCAACAATGGTGTGGTCCAAGTTTAACAAACTTAGTTCACTTGCCAAAGATTTTAGAGCCTGCTTTTCATGACAACATCCATATATATATATATATATATATGTATATATATGTTATCCTGCAAGCTAAAATTTCGATTAGGTTAGTCGATTTTCATATCAAACTATCAACTACGAAACAATTTCCACCAACGGATATTGAGAATGCCCAACTTTTTATTATATCAAGTTTAAGTTTTAGTCGGACCAGTAAATTATATGATAGGGGATTCAAAAACTTGCCTCATCCTGTCCGCATTTTTCGTAACAGTTTAAAATACCGAAATACTATTATGTAGTATTGTGTAGACTTTTGTAAAGAAATTTTGATAATTGCAATGAAGAGTTTTTCGAAACGAATGAGCCGTTATACGGCGAATCGTCGTGAAAATCTTCGCAATTGCAATTTATTTCCAATAAGATTGGTGCTTGGGTCAAAATCTCTCAAAAAATGACGACTTGCAGATTGAACATAAAATACATACAGACAGTTATTAAAGGGAAAGATGGACAGGATACGCTTAAAACAATTTAGATAATAATTCTGAATTGATTTTAAGCTCTTTTGCATGCTACACTCATTCGTGCAAATTTAATATACCCGAGTTAGTGAAAATCGCGATTATGAAGTTAATAATCGCGATAAAGCGATAACATTCACCGATTGTTCACACATCCGCTAGACTGCTGTCAACAATCTTTCTATCTCTCTTTCCTCAATACTTTTTAATCCGTCACCATTTTACTGGAATAAAAGATATGCCCTGAGTGATTGATCATAACTAAAAAAAAAAACGAAAAACAAATTAGACCATTATAATCGGACAAGGCCGGCAATTCAATACCTTACAACATATTATCTAACACTTTTTTAATTTTCATAATAGAACGAAAAAATTGTGCCCATTACATGTTTCTATATATATATATATATATATATATATATATATATATATATATCTAATGTAGGACAATTTTAATCCTTAGATCGGGCGGGATCCAGAAATAGACGTGGATGGTTCAAATTTTGTAGAGTTCACTTTTGTATGAAATTACTATTATGGGTCAAATTTCATCACCACATAAAATAAAACTTGGATTTTTCTACTCTGTAAAGTATCAATTTTCATGAAAATCCTTATGAGGGCAAAATCTCCAAAAAGATAAGCCGAGATGGTCCAAATTTGATGCAGTTAATTTTTTTCTTATTTTAAATTGCTATTATGATGTAATTTTCATCATGAAGCATTGAAAACTATACCTTTTTGTCATATGAACTTCAGCTTTCGTTATATGAGAGGGGAATTCAAAAATTTCCCCAACTGCGAATGCCCACTTTTGACGAGAAATTTTGAAAAGTTACAATTTTTTTCAAAATAATGACTTTTCGGAATAGGGCGTTATATGAGGAGTGATCGAAAAAGTCGAACCATCCAAACCATTTTCAATAGCATTCGTCCTCGGGTCAAAACACGCCACTGTACCAAATTTCATCAAGATATCTAAAAAATTGCGATCTGTAGCTCGAAACTAAAAATTTATATTGACTGACATCGGACGGATAAACAAGCTTACACCAATTCAGATTATGATTCTGAATCGATCGGTATAATAAAAAATGGGTGTATCTTATGACCATCTGCGTGTTGCACACGTCCGCATTAACTACTAATATACCTTGTACCCCAAGTGATGTATAATATAAAAATACAGCGCATCCTTTATCACGATCTTTTAGATGATTTCAATAGTTATGTGAGTCGAATTGCTTCGATTCGAGCTTTTTCGAAAATTATCCATGGGCCCAAAATACTTAAGAAACTGAATGCCGAGAAACGCTTAACCGCTAAATTCGAATCATTTTCTATGCTATCTAACTAACAATCCTCTCGCATTTTCTCATATTATGTATCCTTGAGCCTTCAAGCCTCGAGTGCACGTCAACTTGCATTAGATGCATTTGCAAAATGGATTAATATCGTGTTTACTATCTGAGTGAATGGTGTAATTTTTAATTTCAGCTGGCGGGCCAAAGTATATTTGGGTAAATGCTTTTTATCTGACCTTTAAAGGAGAAGTTAAAAAGAAAATTACCGTAGGGCAGTGGCAGGATCACGTTGCGCTTAACATTGTGCTTAACTTTTTCAAAATTTATCTTAATGTAATTATAAATATGTAATTAACAACAAATTTTATTTGTTTTGGTTTTGTGTTTAAACAAAATTAAAAGAAAATTATCTTAAAAGTCAATCGAAGCGACAATAATTGTTTGTTTAAGAAACTGCGTCAATTCTCTGTGCAAATTTATGCGCATTTATTATTAGCAATCAAATCAAAGGTAAAAAGAGAAAAAAAATAAATAAATATATATATATATATATATATATATATATATATACATATATACATAGATAGATAGAAAAAGGTGTAAGTGAAAGAGAAAGTAATTAATTATTCTTACCTCATCCATATACTCAGGTGCCGTCTCACCCAATGAGATAATATACGCTGCACTATTTCTACTGGCGCAACTTTGATATTCCAAGCCTAATATGGTCATATGCTGTACTAATTGATAAACAGATTCGTGTATATTTTGATAGATTTCAGGAATTTGATCGCGGCGTTCACTAACGATTTACAAAATTCGATATAAACAAAATTAAAAATTCATTTACATTCTGTTTCATTTTAAAATACTCACTCATTAGTGTAGCCATTGATATGCAATATACGCATCTGTTTAATTATAGTCGTCTTCCCAGATTCGGCTGTGCCCAATAACAGAATTTTAATCGGCTCTTGAAATTTCTTCTGCATATCATTGCATTGTTGTTTAATTTGTTCAGTTGTGTGCGGCGGTGGGGTGGTGGTGGTGGTGGTGGCGGCGGCGGCAACTGCTGTTGATTCCAAATCATGCGTATGAGTTTTTGAGTGCCGTAAACAACGCAACATTCTGAAATGTGACAAAATCCGTAATTATAACTCTCGTACTGTCTGGATCATTTGAAAAACATAAAAAAAAAGTTTATTTTTCTTGTCAAGATAATATTTGAAGCTATGGTAACAAGGCAAGGCTCAGCTTTCACTTATCTTAAATTGAAAAGTGACGGAACACTTTTATAGAACTCACTCAAACCTAATCATCTTTTATGAATTCCTTTTATTATTTTAAGATCATTGCTTCGGGAAGCTACCACGATTAGTATAATTAATTCTTTGCTGAGAAACTGCCAAATATTGTTGATGATACGTGGGATGGGACAATCTGAACTAACTTAACTATAACATGTCATCATTTGAGGATTTGGACCGTTTTGAGGATTGACACACGGAATATCATCATATAAGTTTGATACATTTCCTTTGAAGATTCGTACTGCTCAGCGGTAGGATGTTATCCTACGAACTTATTGACTGTTTACATTCGATTGTTATCAGTTGTTCAAATTTGTTCAAATTTTAAAATAAATTTATTATTATGCGGGACTCTTTCAGTAGTTTTGAAAGTCGGATACAATCGATTTTCGAAAGCGAATTTGCGAATGCAAACTCAAAGTTGGAAAACGATGTAAAAATTGACCTCCTCCAAGACCTGGCGCAAGGCACAATTAATTTCGTACGCAACAATTTTACTGCAACTTTGGATTAAGTATTTGGATCTTGTTGCTTCGCATAGGTTCGAATGAAATTCAAAATTGATAGGATCGAAGAAAACAGCAGATCTTTTCCTTCATTTTGCTTCATTTTTAAATGGATCTATAAGCATAAATGAGATATCATTTATGTATATTTTTTTTTTTGCAAGATAATGGTAGCTAAAGATTCTAAGTTTGAGAAGAAAAAAATTGATTGCAATTGTTATCGCTCAGTTGTACATAACATTTCCTTGCAATGAGTTAAATGATAAGTCGAGTTCGTTTTAACCCTCGACCTCACACGATCGTAAGTTATACAGAAAAAATATCAAAAAAAAATTGATCGCGTTTTTTCGAGTTCTGTTTTCTTAGTTTCTATTCTGTTACGTGTGTGTGTGTGTGGGTGTGAACAAATTGTAATCATATTTTAACCTTGGATTCTTAATCGTTTCAGGAAGGTGTGCGACAAATTTCACCTTTTCATATATAATTTTATGATTTTACCCATTTCACACACACACACACACAGACACACACACACACACGTAACAGAATAGAAACTAAGAAAACAGAACTCGAAAAAACGCGATCAATTTTTTTTTGATATTTTTTCTAGGTAAATGCATATCTCGGTAGCTCTACCGCTAAAATATCAAAAAATTCGAAAAACTCTCTTTATCTTAAATAACTGAAATGTTTATCATTTCGTTAAGTTTAATTTTAATAAAACTCGATAATAAAAGTTGAGCATCGTAATTCTAAGACATAATTCTAAACAAAGCAAATAGGTCAATAGGAAGAAGGAACAAGGCTCTATTTCTCTCAGAGAGAGATAGAGAGAGAGAGAGGCTTATTACCTAACGTAAGAACATGAAAATTTTCTTAATTATTATAAAGGGAATTGGTAGCGAATTTCGCTTAAATTCTATTCAGTAATTTAGTTTTCGCCCGGATTTATCCGGTTTTGAAAGAAAGAGGTGTACATCAACATTTTGTTTAGAAGTTTAGAAGACGTTTATTAGGTAACATTGCATGTATTTTGATAGCTTTTTTTCATTTGAGAAACGCATTTATTGAGAAAAATTCATACAATGTATAATAATAAGCAAAATATTTTCTATCATTTTGTAAAACTTTCTCCCATCTTTCTGGCAACATGGCGATATCGTGTCATCGACTCATTTTCGTACTTCTGCGGCGTTTCGAAACCGCATCGATTCGGGCAAGTGGTAATCAGAAGGCGCTCTGCCTGTACACTGAATGCGGCAGAGCTTCCCATTCGAGCTGCAACAGCGTATCCTTGACAACTCTTGGAGAACTCTGTGGCCAAGCGATGTCATGCAAGATGATGACTTTGCCTCTATTAACCGTTATTGTTGGCCCTTTTTACAGCAATACATCATTCAATTTGTTCAATTGACGTCAATACATATTTGCAGTTGCAGTTTCATTCTCTTTTCATAACTCATAGTAAACAATACTTTGGTAAGTCCGGTTATCCTTGACAAACCCATTATTTTTTGCACTTGGGATTATCGTACTAAATCCAATTTTTCATCGTCAGTTGCGATCCGCCGCAGAAAAGCAACCAATGGGCCGCGATGTTGAAACGGTTCGAAATCGCATTTTCACTCAATTCGTTTGGTGGCCATTTTCCCGCCTTTTGGATATCTTCCATTGCATGTAAATGTCTAGAAATAGTTGGTTGATTCATCAAGCCGTTCGAAAATTCTTTTAGAGTCAGAGACCTGGGTTTTCAACCACAACAACTCCTGCAATTTATTGTCTTCGAAGTTTTCTATTCCTCCGCATCCATCTTTCTCATTGACCTGCTGAGTAGCTGAGTAGCATCGCCGTAAGCTTCAGAAAGTGTTTAATTGTCTTCGGCAGCAGATTTCTTCGAATCAAATAACAAAAAGTAATGAATGTCGAAGATGTAACGTTGAACGCTGCATGGGTAGTGCTGCATACATTGAATAATCACTCAATAATACTAAATGGTAAACTGTTATAATATATGTAGAGACAGGTCAAAATGATCGAATTTAACCTTTGGGTACAATGATGCTTTGCATAATTTTTCCATTTTCATCAATAGATATCGAGGCTCAAAATACGTGGAACTACTTGTTAAAAAATATCCTACTGTGTATTTCTGGCTATAAATTGAGCGATAGAACCGCTTGAAATGTTTTGGAAATTTTTTACAACAACAAGGGTCCCGCGCATGTCCAAAGATATTGAAATCTAAACTCGTTTTTAATAAATATTCGACTATCGCTTTTCACAAAATACATATAAACGTGAAATACATATACATATACATGAAATACATATACATGAAATACATATAATTTGAAGACTTATTTCTAAAGTAAGCTTTCGTCGATTTGTTATTTACCTACAAAGCCTTACGAATCATGTTAATAAACTTTAATACGAGCAAGAACGCGGTTATATCCGATTTATGGAGAGATTTTTTAATATACGCCGCCAGTTATGTACGACATTTAATTGGAAGATAGAGCGCAGATTCACACACTCGACGCATCGATCGCATATGCTATCATATGCGTATCGTAAAGTTACGTATCGTTTTAAGTTACAGACTGAAAATTGAAATTCATATTTTTTATATGTATGCCGTGTATGTGTTTACATGCGGCTCTTTTAGTGATTGGTGTTGTCGAGCTCGCCTTGCAATTTAATAGATTTTCGAAACCTACGACGAGGATGGTGATAAACATAATTAGTTCGAGTTTGTCTTTTTTTTTTTCACACACAATTTCTAGTTAACAATAATGATTTCAGCAGATGGACGGACAAATAGATGTATTTCAATTAACGAGACTCTTTAACCTAATAAAAGAAACATAAATTATATCTCATCGCAATGAAGCATAACTCACCTAACCAATGTGTTAACTGTGATGAATGCGAAAAAGGAAAAAAAGAAGACCCTTTCCGCGGCTCATGGGTCGAATTCAAGGTAAAGCTAAACAAATTTCTTTCGAATCTAATGGAATGTATAGAGATAACGAGCGGTCGATGCGACTAGTAACCTATAAATTTAACAATGGTTTTGAAAAATATTGAATTGTCATTTGCCAGGGGCACTACAATGCAGCAGGTCCTTCATGATGTTCACTTATGTTATACGTTAATCTGCGATATAAATGATTAAAGTGTCATAATTCTGGCTGTGAACTAATAGAAACTTTGCTGACTAAAACAGGCAAATGTTAATCAAACCAGATTATGAAAAATTTTAACGACTTGACAACAGAAATTTCGAGGCTAATAACACGCCAGTACAATGTGAATTCATTTTTGGGATCATCTAAAATATTTAATCAATATATATATATCAATATATATATATATCTCTATATATATATCTATATATATGTATAAGGAAATTGGTCTGATAATTTACCTATACATCATGCGTACATGTAGGTATATTCATTTCATCATTCCGTATGTTAAAGCCAGGAAAACAAAAGCTACTAAGATCTCTCTCCAATTACTAATAAATATCAGTAATTACCACGAGATTGTGTATGGATTTGTTGGAACTATGGAATATGTATAATGATTGTTTAAACTGTGTAACTTCAACAATATCCCTTAAAATCCATTACTTAACCTGGAAAATTATTACTCATGATATATATTAGCAAATAAAAAAAAAATAATCAAACATTTGAAAGAAATTCGGATAAATCGAAGAGTGTATGTATGTGCATAGTTCGATGAATGGTAAATTGTTATCAGATATTTATCTTCATTGCTTATTAGAACTATGAAAATTTATCTTTGTCCTAATTGATCGTCTGACTTGCCTACAAACGAGAAACGGCCGCGATTTAATGTTGGACATCTAAGATTTAACCTCATTCCCGAGTACCGATGCCGTGTTATTTTTTTATTATATAATTTTTGTTTTCTTTTTCTTTCTAATCTGTAGGATCTGGAGATGTGCACAAATGATAGAAGAAAAATTGTTAAGAGAATCCTATAAAGATAGATAGATGTAACTCTTATGCTGCAATTGGAACATGGCAATTGTAAGCGAATGTTTACGGACGTTAAAAATTCGAATTTTGAAGTAAATCTTTGGTAAGCAAACCGCTGATCCCGGTTATTACAGTGGATTGTAAATAGAATGTATACCATATATTCGGACAAAATTGCAAAAATTTTGTATATGCTACAATGCAATGCAATAATGATACTGTTACGTTCAGCAATGCATGTACGTTGCCAAATGATTGGGCCTATATCTGACGATCGGAAATACCACTCAATCTGTGAGCAGATTTAAGTTTACCTTGAGAGAGGACTTGCGATCGGTAGCCGGTGTCATATCGCCCTAGTAATGCTTTTATTACTATTCACCTACTTTGCAAAGAAGACGCAAAACGAAGCTGATAAGTAAACTTCAGCATAGAATCCGGTTCGTTACAAAAAGCTTTTAAGCAAAAATAAATGCAGGCTGCTTTTAAATCCTATATATATGTACATATATAGAGAGTCTATATTTAACGTCTGCACCTGCACTTGCTTGAATTGCTTAATCAGATGTCCGCAAAAACCCGCAAATCTTTCGGTACACCCCATCTTACAAGACAATCCAGTAAGAGAGAGGGTCTATACGAAATTCGGAGCACTACAAAAATTACATTAGCAAGGCATAAAGGGATACGGGGAGAATAGAATGAAAAAAAAAAAGGAGAATTTATAGTTAAACGAAATGAAGAAATGCCGCTGAATTACGCATAACCAGATTTCAGTAATTAAACGGTTGCGCACTAAGGTTGCCAAAGATTGTCTTTGTATTGAACATTTGCTTGACCACGAATTGATTATGATGATCGATTGATTAATAATTTCTATAAAGAAAGGAATATTTTTTTTTTTTTTTAAAGAGAATATTCGAAAGAGAAATTCACTCAATAAATTTCTGGTCTAACACATATATGGGGCTATACTGTTCATAGACTTGTATAATTTTTGGATAGTATCGAGATTCAAGCGGAACCTTTCAAAACTTGACAAACGACTTACGATGACCAACGTTGGATGAGGCGTTAACAAGAGCATCGAAATGATACGCGTAGGATTGATCGAAATGTGATAATCATTAGCGGCCGCCTTTCGCAATTTTATGAAAAGAAAAATAATATTTTTTTGTCCTTAGCAAGCGCAGGAACTCACCGTAATTTCATTTTGGAGAATATCTTTGAAAAGTTTTATAAAAGTCAAAAACCCCCCAAAAAAAAAAACAAACGAAGATAATTAATTTAGTCGCAAATGTACTTATGATTCTTTTATATATATATTTCTTTTTGTTTTTTTTTTTTTATTATTTTTATTTTGCCAGCAAGTGTTCTTTTGTGAAATTAAATCCAAGCACTTCGGCAGTCAATTTATTTGATATATTTAAAGTTAAAGAAGAAATACTTTTAACGAAAAATTTTTTATTCAAAACTATTTTCCTTTTAACTTATGTTACTTTCGCTGTTTATTTACTTTTGTTTTTATTATTCTTTTTACTCTCTGTAAATTGTTATACGCGTGCATAAATAATATATGACTTATAATTTAATTATGTTTACGGTTTTCGGTCGTTTAACGGAAAACTATTAATGAAAGCTTGCGACGTTTTCAACCGACACGTCTAATAAGCATTTATTAACAGCGTGAACTGAAAGTATTCCAAAGGCTAACACGCTTTATAATGACTCGTAACTCATTGCTTGCTTTGGCACAAACGACCGCGTACTAAATAATATATGTTCGTACATAAAGCAGCCGTCAGTTTAGACGGCGGGTAGAACATTTTCGATAAGATTAAAACAACAACATCACATCATTCACCTATCACTCTATACCCTTTTCCCATTTTAAGAAAATTTCGCAGGGAAACTGAATTCTCCGGAATGTTTATTAATTGCTTTAAATACATTTATCTCTCTCAGTTAAGATACTCAATTCATTTTCCTGTCATAACCCTTATTGCGATTAAGTTGAAATAATTTTTCCCGAAATACTGCTAATGGCATTGCATTGTGGTTTGGTTGTGGTTTTTCGTTTTTTTTGTTTTTTTTGTTTTTTTTTTTTTTTTGCTCTTTTTTTGCTCTTTTTCGAATATTTTAATAATTTTTAATATTTTCTTTTTAACTTAAATGAATTCTCTTTTATTGTCTATCCGCCTGCTATCCATGTGTATACGGTATTTTGCCAACTCAGTTATTGATTATTATTATTATTATTATTATTAATAACAAAAATGTGTTGTTTTGCTTTCTTAACAAAGATTTGTACCCGTACGTATGCAATAGTTCTTGGTGTAGAGTTGTTGCGGTCAGATATATATATATATATATGTATTTATTTGTGTATATAGATGTATATGTATGTTCCTTGGGCTGTTATCATATCATTGATAATAAGTACAATACTCGCAACAGTACACTTAACAACACCTACATACACTTGAGAAACTCGATATTTGTCTAAAGCTAGAGGTAAACACTATACTTATGGATTTTGTACAGGTTGACCGAGGAGCCAACTGTCGCAAAATATTTTTACAATTTAATCATTTTTATCACTGTTTTATTAAGAGGATACAGTCCTTCATTTAACATTTGTCAAAGGAATTATTTCAAATATTCACAATGAAACACTTCATTATATCCGGGATTTGATTGAATAAATATTTTATTTTAAAACTTTTTCCCTTTAACAAGTCTTTTTCAAGTGATTGTCAGTGAGCCAATCAAAATTGTATTAACTGCTATGTCGATGTAAACGACGACACAAAAATAAATGACATAAATGTCGACGGCACGATACGACTTGTCACCTGATTGCCTGAGACACCAGGCGTCGTTATTACACCCGATTATTACCTATAACGTGAATTCATATAAGGCAGACTCGTATACCACACGTTGTCATCCATCGTGTTCATTTAACACGCTACAGGAGCTTCGTGTGACATAGTAAAAATACGAGACAGATTTTACAATTTGATTACATCGTATTACTATTAAAATAACGTGTCAGTCCATAAAAGAAAACGAAGAAAATATGTGTCGATAAATTTTTTTATGTAGGTGTTATGAGAAAAAATAAATGTTTATTATTCAATGGCCATAAAAATTATATTTGTATAATCGAAGTGAGTTGTAGTAGACAGACGTTAATATAGCACGTAACGAATCTACTTTGCTATAGGGCAGTCTACTCAAACTCTATATAATCGAAATCACTTGTACATCGCGGATTTATATAACATGGAACGAATCTACTGTAGTCTACTGTAATCCACTGTAGTTTACTATATAAAAAAGTGGAGTGACTTCCACTACATGGA